TTATTTTTTTTTAATTTTTTTTTCAACGTTTTTATTTATTTATGGGACAGACAGAGACAGAGCATGAACGGGGGAGGGGCAGAGAGAGAGGGAGACACAGAATCGGAAACAGGCTCCAGGCTCCGAGCCATCAGCCCAGAGCCTGACGCGGGGCTCGAACTCACGGACCGCGAGATCGTGACCTGGCTGAAGTCGGACGCTTAACCGACTGCGCCACCCAGGCGTCCCTAGAGATTTTATTTTTAAGTAATCTCCACACCCAACATGGAGCTTGAACTCACAACCCTGAGATCAAGAGTCGCATGCTCTACTGATTGAACCAGCCAGGTGCCCCTCGATCATTGTTTTTAAATTCAATCTTCCAGTCTCTGCCTTTTAATAGGACACTTTAACCCAGTATTTTTAGTTTTATTAAGATATGTTTTATGACCTAACATATCCTCTATCCTGAAGAATGTTCCATGTGCTCTTGAGGAGAAAGTATATTTTGCTGAAGAAAAGAGATCTGCCATGGAGTGAATGTGTCCCTGCCTCCAATGCACATGTTGACATCTAACCCCCAATGTAATGGTATTAGGAGGTGGAGCCTTTAGGAGCCCCCATAACTGAATTAATGCCCTTATTAAAGAGACGTCAGAGACCTCCTTTACCTCTTCCACCAGGTGAGGACACAGCAAAATGATGGCCATCTATGAACCAGAAAGCAAGCTCTCACCCAACACTGAAACTGCCAGCACCTTGATCTTAGACTTCCAGCCCCCAGAACAGTGAAAAACAAATTTCTGTTGTTTGTAAGCTGATCAGTTTGTGATATTCTGATATAGCGGCCTGAGTGGACGAAGACAGCACAAAACAGGATATCACACTTTCCCTCATTGCACCAATGCAATTCGTTTTGTTGACAGAGGAGTCTTTAACTGCTATTGTACCATACTGCTTGACCATCCCTGACCTCCCTCTTGAGCCCCAGATCTGAAATTCCTGCAGCCTTTTGGATGGCGTCCTCCAGAAGCCTCTCAGCCCTTCCATACTGGCCATGACCCCAAAGGCCTCAGTCTGTCCCCCAAATCAGCTCCTTCTCCCTGGTCTCCATCTCAGGGACAGCCTTTTTATCCCTCAGTCCTGAGGGCAGAGCCCTGGACCTTTTCTTAAATGCCTCCTTTGCTCCCACTTCCTTCGTGGCCCTCTAGCCCAATGGCCTGCTCACTGGGGTTTCTGGGCATCTCTCCCACCTGCCGCCTCCTCACCACCCTGCACCAGGCTTTGGTCTGGCCCCATCCTCTTCTGCCCAGGTCTCTGGACTACTGCCTCCCTGGGATCTCTGCTCCAGTCTGAGCTGTCCTCTACAGGAGTATCTTTCTACATCTAACCATATCCTTTGGCCTTTCAGCTCTGAGTACTCCCCTGATAATTTCCAAGCTCCAAAACATGACCTCAGTGGCCTTGCCTGCTCTGGAGCTATGCTGTCTCATCACGGACAAGCTGGTCCAGCTGTCTGCCCTAATGCCCCTCAGAGTATGCGTCCCCTGGGCCTCTACTCCCAGACAGGGGAGTGGAGGGGTATGGTCAGAGAGCCTCCATAGTCACTTCACCCAAGATCTCTGGGGAAGCTGATGTTGAGCTTGTTAGGTGGACAGGGGGTAGAGTACAAGGTGCAGTTGTTTTCTTGGGTTTTTTGGCTTTTGGTGTTTTGCCTTTTGGTCTTTTCCCTTCCTGATAGCACATTTTCCTTACAAGGACTGTCCTTCCTCACACTTAATCAAGAGGTTAGGGTGGGACTGCCCTCAGCTCCAGGGGTGGGCTCCAATTGGCTTCAACCTCTGGCAGCGTCAGTAGTAAAGTGGTAAGCTCAGGACCCACCCCCATCCAATCTGAGTGACTGACTGGGACTTGCCTAGGAATGTTGGGCTCCACCCCCTTCTTCCTCTGGACAATAAAATATGCAGATGTGCAGCCTCAGACTGTGAGGGGGGTGAGCCTGAGGTTAGAGACCATACTCAGAGAAGGGAAGGTCAGGGAAAGCTACAGAGAAATGGAACCAGAGTCCTATAGACATTGAACTGACATCAAACTGACCTGAAGCCTATATTAAAACCCATAAATTACCATTTCTATGTAGGCCATCTGAGTGAAATTTTTGCTACTTGCAACTAAATAAAAAATCCTAACCTCTCCAGAGTGCCCTCCTTAAGCTAGACACTAAATAGAGATTGGAACTCAAAAGATTTAATGACCAGCACTAAACCTGGGCACTGAACAGTCAGAACATACTGCAAGCCATAGCAACACGCCTGGGTCACAGAAGACCTTGCTGGAGAGTAGGGAGGTTGCAGGCCTCCCGAGGAGGGGCGGAGTCGACAGGAACACACACAAGCCGCTATTTACCAGGTGGCCCAGAAGGATTTTGACTTTAATGACCTATATGGCCGTGTGGTACAAACTAACTGAACGTGAGTCCTTACAAGGGCCCACGGCTAATCCTGAAACGAGGATTTAGGTCTGAAGAAGTGAAAATTGACGCAAAACAAAAAAGGGCCTGGGATGGGTGATAGATGCATTTCCAAGGTGGCCCAGGAAGTGAGCGAAGAGCACAGGTGGAGATGGGGGCAGGCAAGTGGCTCAGGTGACCAACGGCTTCTTCTTCCAGGTTTGCTCAGGTGCACGCTGGTTCGCCTCTGCCACTTTGGAACTGTCACTGGAGCCGACTCTGGAGCTGACCGTGGATCTGGTCTCAGATGTCCCACTGCAATTTCTAGAAGGGGAAGTGTAGGTGTAGTAGGACTCTGACATGATGATGTTGTTGATCTTCCAGCGGAGGCTGTTCCAGGCCTTCACCATAACAGGCAACAGGAGGCAGAAGATGATGTAGAGGGTCACCAGACCGATGAACACGCTGGATGACACCTGCAGACGCCGCACGACAGGCTTGGCTGGGCGGCCTCAGAGCCCCATTCCCCCAGCAGGGCAGCTCCTCGCAGCCACTCACCATGAGGATGAAGAAGGCCCGCTTGGCACTGAGTGGCAGACCGTGGATGTGCAGCAGGAAGATGAGCTGGTAGTCACAGTATGTGCTCTTGTCCACACCTCTGAGGGGGCACGGGGTTCAGGCCTGGGGCAGGAGTCGGGCACCCCATAGGAAGCCCCCAAGTCTCGCTGGGACACAAGCCTGGCTCACCTGTTGCTCACCAGCACCTTGAAGAAGAACTCAGGGGCGAAGATGGTGTGGGGAATGGTGTCATAGCATGGGGAGTTCTCCAGACACAGCCACCTGGGGACCCGCGTTCAGGCAACATGCGACACAAATCATGCTTAGCACAGGCCAACCTCTGATTCCTCCCTCCAGCCCACAAACTCTGGGTGAGCACCAGAGGAGGTGCGACCTCATTCCTTCTTCCTTGATTCGCTCCTTCATTCGTTCATCCAATAAGACTGACTCCGTGCCTACCACGTGACAGGCTGTTGACTCACTCATTTCCTCCAGTCTTAAAGTCTCCATCTGTGATTCCTCCATTAGTGTATGGATTGCGTATCTATCATGTGCCAAGTCCTCGTTTATTCCTTGCTGCTCTCATTCCTTCATCCCACAAATATACCTTGAGTGCCTACTGGGCACAAAGTCACATCTCCATTCATTTATTCTTTCCTTTATTCATTTATTCAATAAATGCAAGTTGAATACTGACTAGGGGAAAGTTGTTGCTCCACTCATTCATTCGCTTCCCTCATTTGCTCATGGCACCATTTTCTTCCTTTCACTGAATCAAAAATCGTTGTTGAGTCCCTATATACTAATCTGTCCCTCCATTGTTTTCCTCATTCATCATGACCGCCATTCAAATCCCAATACATGCCTACCGTGACTGAATGAATGAATTTGCTCATTGTCTCATTCAACAAATACTGTTTAGTCTTATCAGGACCTGGACCTATGAGGGAGACAGACCACACCAGAGACAGTGACAGCCGAGAGGGGTCAGGTTCAGATGGGGCAGGCACAAGCAGAGACGTGAGGGTGAGAAGGGGGAAATACAGGAGGACGTGGGAGCCAACACCCCATTCAGAATGGTCAGAAAAGCCCCCCACCTCCCATGAAGGGACATCTGAACTAAGGCCTAAAGAAAGAGTAAGAGGGCCCAGCACTGCAGACAGTCAGCCCCATTTGAGGAACACGAAGACGGTCAGCCGGGCTTGAGCCTCAAAAGATCTCCCAGAGGCAGAAGGGATGCAAAGCCCAGGCAGATTCTGGGCAGGTGGGGGATAAAGGGACCAGCAGCCAGGCCGTGGACTCACTCGATGCCCAAGCTCTGATGGGACATGATGTTAAAGGCCGAGTCCTTGGTGGTCGTTGTGTTCTTGGTGGTCCAGATGAGGCTGTGAGTCCTGTGCAGGACCGTGTAATCTTAGTTGGGGAGGGGGGC